CTGGCTGCAAATCCTTACTAGAGCCAAAAATTTGTGCCTTGATGCAAAAATTGATATCCATGTCTACTCAGAACAATTCTTTTAACAATAACTAAGACTTTTGTTTGGAGTTGCATGGGCATTGATGCAAATTTAATGTTTTTCCCAAGTTCTCAGAATGCCATTTTAAAGCATTCCTTCAAAGAAACTCCTAAAGAGATGAGAAAATAAAAAAATGCTAAATAAGCACCGTTATTTGATCAATCATTTAGAGGAGGATAGATTACTCAGATCACCACTAACATCCCCAAACTGGAATTTAATCCCCCCATCAACGAAACGACTAAAATGGCTCAGCTAAATACCCAATGAATTTCCAAGGGACAAAAACAAATCTGGCTTTCTAAATATGACAGCTCAGTATAACTTTCAGAGATGGTGCAGCCACTAAACTTCTCCAAGTGTCGGCAAGACCTTACAAAGATTAATGGGCTTATACACATATATAGTTGGTTAAATTTGCCATCATCTCAAGTAGAACTGAGAAGTAGAAATTCTCCCACTCAAAAAAAGAAAAAAAGGATTAATCAACGCAGTAAAATCCAGCACATTCCACAAGTCAAGTTTAGTATCTTCTTCATATAACAATAAAAACCTAGAAAATAGCATAAAACTCGAAGCAAACCATGGCATACCATTGATTGAACAGCACAATCTCATATACATATGAACCCACCTCGATTTGCATCTTGGGCAATCGGCTAACAAAAAGAATAAAAAAAGAGTCAGAAAATCTCGAATCAAAACATCATAATTCAATCTAATTCCTTTCAAATCAATCCAAATAAACCCTCAAACGATTAAACAGAGCTCCACATAGTGATCAAAGAGATGAAAAAGAAAGAGGTGAAAACCTACCATTTTCACAGGTCTCAGACGATTTTGGTGGCAGGAGAAGCGGACGAGGTGGCTGGATCGAGAAGGGGCTGACCGGCGCCAAGTAGGTGGGGGGAGTCGGGATCGTAATTCGGGTCGAGGGAACGATCGATGGCCTCGCGACCCTTTTCGAGGCAAGGCTTGCAGGCGATCTCGATGGTGATCCAGCCGAGAATCACTGCGGCTATCGCCACCACCGCCACGGTTATCGCTGCCATCTGCTTCGTTGCTCTCTCTTCTCCGTCCGGGCTGGTGGTCGTTGGGTTTAATGGCGTTAACGAGGGATTGACTGTCAATTTGTTTATTTTTTGAATCTGAAGA